AACTTTTGTGCCCTAAATTAACTGCTTTCATCAAGCATCCCATATTTTTATTTATCATAAATTCAGAGAGTTATCAGGGAGAGCAAAAATCATCTAATTCAGTCTAACCATAATTTCACACATATAATTACTATTTCTTCACTTGAAAGTTTAATACATTGTGTCTGACACTAAAAACAAAAGGGTTTTCTTTCTCTCTTTTTTTTTTTTTGGAGAATTTTGAGTCTGAGAACAAATCTCAAACTTTTTCACTCTGAAATGGCAAAATGTGCAAAATTCAAAAAAATGTTCTGCCAAAAAGGGAAGGAGCAGTGTTATGAAACAGGAAGCACTAGGAATGAATTTGGGAATGTGTAGAGAAAACAACATATTATGTGTAGAGATAAAACATATTTTAAAAAGTCAAGAAATATTTAAAGAGATAGTGAATGTCTAATGCAACAAAAAGTGCACCGGTTTACTTCAAATAAATACATAAAAATAAATTATTCCAGTGAAACAAGAAAGGGTAGAGGAAAAGATAAATCTTTTAATTGTGTCATCATTTTCAAAAAAGACTAGAAATCAATATTTTACCCTTTTACAATTAGGAGTATTATTTTATAAGAATTATTGTGCACAAGATGAGGTATACTGACAAACTAAAATTATCTTTATCAATATCAACATACCAAAACCTTTACATTTAAACTTAATACAGTTAACCTAAAAGTTTTCTTCTGAATTAAAAACTATTTTAGTTAGAAGCAAACATTTTCTTTGGAATAAACATTTTTGAAAAATTGGACTTACTGGAATAGAGATTTTTTTCAAATTACAGTCCTTCTCCAGGAGCTCATATACATACTTCGTGATGATCTAAGTAGGAAAGAAATAACACATTAAGATGCAATGTCATCCATTATCAAAATTGACATAAATTTTGGTAAATTATTGCTCTGAGTGAGTATCTCTTCATCTTGGAATATTCTGATATTACATTAAGAGACTCTTTAATGATTATCTATAATGGTTTGCTTCCTGCTGCTGCGTGAGTAACTATGGATCTTAGTACTAAGGATTAGGACCAGTTAACAGAAGCTCAAAAAAATATACAAGATTTTCTCTGTTTAAGTGAATACTCTGAAAGTGTATTTTCTCTTTTCAGTGTTTC